AAGTGCAAGGTGAAATGGAAGGTGCTGATTTGAAGCTACAGCAAGTTATGCTGAAGATCTAGCTGAGATCACTAATGAGGTAGCTACACTAAGTACATTTCCAATGTAGATAAAAGAGCCTTATAGAAGAAGATGCCATGGAGGGCTTTCATAGCTAGAAGAAATCAATGCCTGGCTTCAAAGCTTTAAAGGACAGGCTGACTCTCTTGGTAGGGGTTAATGCAACTGGTGACTTTAAGTTCAAGCAACCATGCTCATTTACCATTCCAAAAGTCCTTAGGTCCTTAAGAACGATGTTACCAAAGCTACTCTGTGCTCTACAAGCAGAACAACGAAGACTGAATGATAGTACATCTGTTTACAACATGGTTTACTAAATATTTTAAGCCCTCTGTTGAGACCTGTTACTCAGAAAAAAAAAAGATTCTTTTCTAAGTATTTACTGCTCATTGACATCGGACCTGGTCACCCAAGAGCTGTGATGGAGATGTACAAGGGGATTGTTATTTTCATGACTGATAACACAACATTCATTCTGCAGCCTATGCATCAAGAAATAACTTCAACTTTCCAATCTTATTATATAGACAGTGATTGATTCCCCTGGTGGATCTGGGCAAATTATACTGAAAACTTCCTGAAAAGAATCCACCATTCTAGATGCCATTAAGGACATTCTTGACTCATAGAAAGATGTGAAAAAAATAAACATTAACAAAAGTTTAGAAGTAGATTCCAACCCTGAAGAATGACTTTGAGAGGTTGAAGACCTCACGGAAAGAAGTAACTGCAGATGTGGTGCAAACAGCAAGAGAATTAGAATTTAAAATGTGACTGAATTCTTGGAATCTCAAGATAAAACTTTAATGGATGAAGAGTTGATTCTTTTTTTTTTTTTTTTTAAGATTTATTTATTTATTTATACAAGCACTGGGTACAGTCAGAAGCGCGGGAGGGTGAGAGGATTCACCAGAGCCAGAGCGAGGAGCAGCACAGGCAGAAGGACCGAAGTACACTGCTGAGGGGAGCAGCGGGCGGCAGGAGAGGTCTGCACGCCATGTGGGACCCTTGCCGGCAACCAGGGATGGAACCAGCGCTGCAGAGGCTGCGGGCAGCTACGCAGCCCAGCACTCAACCGCTGCGCCACCAGGGGAGGCCCGAAGAGATGATTCTTATGAATGAGCAAAGAATGAGGTTTTGTAAGATGGAGTCTAGTGGTGAAGATGCTGTATACATTATTGAGGTGACAACAAAGGATTTTGAATATTACACCTGGATAAAGTAGTGGCCGGGTTTGAAAGGATTGACTCCAATTTTGAAGAGGTCTACTGTTTGTAAATTGTTACCAAACAGTATTGCAGGGTACAAAGACATCTTCTGTGAAGGGAAGAGTGGACAGAGGTAGCAAACTTCAGAGCTGTCTTATTTGAAGAGGTAGCCATAGCTGCTCTTCAGCAACCACCACCCTACCCTGACCATCAACAATAGAGCCAAGACTCCCCACCAGCAACAAGACTGCCAACTCACTGAAGGCTCAGATCAGGGTTAACAATATTTGGAAATAAAGTATTTGTTAACTAAGGTATGCACATTGTTTGTACTAGATGAATGCTACAGCACACTTAACAGACTACCATATAGTGTAGACCTAACTTTTATATGCACTGGGAAACCAGAAAATTCATGTGACTCACTTTACTAAGACAGTCACTTTCTTGTGGTGGTCATGTACCAAACCTGGCAATATTTGTGAGGTTTGCCTGTAGTCACAAGTTATAAACAAATGGTGCAAGGGTTTCAGCTGACTCTAGACTTTGGGAATAATAAACACAACAGTTATAACACCAAATATAGAGGATGGAAAGTGCCACAAGTAATTCTCATCTGAATGCTTCCTGGGAATTAATGTAAATGCTACTTTATTGAAATTCTTTCATGCCTAAGATACAGAAGAAAAAAAAAAGGTAGAATTGAGTTCAGCTTCTCAGGCACAGAAGACAGATGAAGCAAAGAGTACTGTGTGCAAAGACACAGAGCAAGACACAGGCAAACACCATTCAAATTAAGTACTTTCATTCCAAAAGGCGAAATTACAAAATCATACAAACCACACAAATTATAAGAGACAAAATCTGTGCAAGTCCATTCACTGTAAATGTATTGCAACTTCAAAGTGTGTCTCATTTCCAGGACCAAAATTCACCAAGAAAGAATAAGAAATCAGAGTCACAGTTAGTATGGAAACTTACTTTCAGCTCCATATCTAAGTCAGGGGACTGTCCTCTAAACTCCAAACTAGTATGCCTTAATAATATGCCAGTCTTGAAGGATAATGATCATGTGTAAACATGTTTTCAACAACTCACCACTAGGTAACCACTGCTCAGGTTGCAGTCTGAGTTGGGAGAGGGGCCAGCAGCCACAGAACTGGACTAAGCATGCTGATAAGACACTGCACAGAAAGGCAGAGAGGTGGCAGCAGGGCCAGCACCACACCCCTCTGTTCCCAAACTAAAAGCAGACAAAGGCCTTCATAAAGGCCTCAGGAGAAGGATATAAGAAATCCTCATCTTCTTCAACTGATTATTCTGTGCGAATGGATGCCTTAAGGATTGTCTGGAAGCCCAGATGAAATCCATGGCTCTCCAACTTCACTTTAGCCTGGGAAAGAAATCTTTGTTCAAACCTCACCAGGAAAGCCCAACATATAAAACAGATGCAAATGGAGCTGTTTTGGTTCTGCAGCAGCCAGGGCTCTATAGAACAGTAATTCTGAAAGCTGCTCATCCCCCCACAGGCAGTGTAGTTTACCTGCATGCTGAGCCAGACCTGTGGTACAGAGGCCAGGTCCACACAGCTGCCTTTCTGAACATCAGCACCCAAACCACACACTATCAAGGCCTCTTTCTTGCTTAAATTTAGTAGCAATTTTTGTGGCATGGTAAGTGCAAATTCAGATTCTACCTTACATTACATTTCAACATATATGAACCCTCTCTGTTGTGCCCTTAAGAGAATAAAATGAGCATTGTTAAGTTACTTAAAATTTCCTGAATTATTTCTGTCAGATCAGCTAATGCTGCCCTTCAGGTACCAGGGGAGAAGTCATATAGCATCATGTGAAATATGGTTAATGACTTGGGCTAAATGACTAGTAAGAGAAAATAAAATCCCTTACAGTATTTTAACTACCAAACCAACCATAAAAGCTCCAAGAAAGGAAAACCGATTACAAAGCAATATAATCCCATCACCTCATGGCAGTCTTGCAAGAGCTATTCTTAACCATTTGCTTGAAAAGTACTATAATAGCAATAATCAAATTTTCATTCCTATTAAGTACTATATTCATCAGTTGGATAACCCTTAGCAAGTGACATGAAATCAACTCTTACAGGCTAATCACTGATCAACTGCTGCTAGACAACTCTGACATGGTCATTCTGTGCCTACTTCTTGTTAAAATAAGGACTATGACCTCTGTTCCTAGCTACTTCCCATGCAAACACAGAGAAAGAAATTGTGAAATTATGTGAAAATGCTTTACGCTGGTGGTAAGGTGGTTTAAATGGATAAAGTACTGTCAGCTTCAGTAAGCTAAAGCAGCGTCCTGGAGGAAGGGCAGGCATTTGTGCTGCTGTTGCACACGCAGAGCATGAATCTGCCAAGTCAGCGATGAAGGCTCCATAACAACAGACAGCCTGTGTTCCAGAATGTGCTGTTGGCAAAGATGCCCTCCTACAAGCTCAGCCTGCTTCTTCTTTTGCTTCTAATTTCTTCTCTGTAAGCTCCTTAGAATAGACCCCATTCCTTTCAACACTTACCCCTCCTCTTCCTCTCTAGCTGGGTATCAGATCCTAATGCTACCCTCTTCCTCCATGATACTGGTGCCGAAGGAAATTCCTAAAATGTAAATATAACCATCCTGCTTCTCTGCTTGAACCCATCAATAGTTCCTACGTCTCATTCCATTTACAGTGTGAAGGGTCTACCTCAGCTGACATCCAAGGCCCTGTGAATGAGGCTCCTTCTGATACTCAGGGCTCGTCTCCCACACTTTTCCAGTCAAGCGCATCTGTTATACAACAACCTGCAGCAACATTCAGATTCTGTGCTTTCCTTGATGGCAAAATGGCCCTCCTGAAATCCCCATTTCCTGCCCACGACTCCGGCAGTGCAGTCACTGTATCCAACACACATTTCCAAGGCCACACTTGCCACAGGATTAGTACAGCCCTGCGGCGCCCCGCCCCCCCCCCCCCAACCCCGATCCCTGACAGAGCTCCTTGGAGGTGGGAGTCATGTCTCAATACTCATCCTCGTATCCTAGGACCAGATCTCACAGGGAGGTCTCAATATGCATTTATCGAATCAAGTTTGAACTGTAATTACTAGCTCATATTTTTCATTCACTGAACACTTATTTACTATACATCAGATTTTTTTACATTCTAACGGGAGAGATAAAGAAATAAAATGAAACCAGAACACAATTACAAGTTGTGGTAAATGCTATGAAAAAAGCAAACAAGGAGTAAAATAGAGAGTCATTAGGATGAGAGGCAGGGAACTACTTTAAGAAAGAGTCAGAATCTCTGAAGAGATTCTATTTTAGGTAAAACTTAAAAGACAGTGAACCAGTCATGAAAAGCATGTAGTGAAGAGCATTCCTTCCAGAAGGAACAACATGGGGAAAGACCAGTATGTAGGAAAGACCTCTAAGTTCAAGGCCGTAAAGGATGGCAAGTCTTTTGGCTGGAGCAATGAGTAAGGAAAAGTCACTTATCTGAAAAAATAAGTTTGGTGAAATAGACTGTGAGCACAGAGCTGAGCACCGTAAGGATCTGAATCAATCTAATTTCAGTGGAAGCCATAAGCTGCAGGTTATAAGCTACAATTAGAATGATCTAACTTATGCTTTAGCAGAGTCACAGAACAAATCCATCAACTAAGCCAAATGACTGTTGAGCTAAAGCAAGCCACAAATACAAAGGCTATACCTCTGCCTGCCAAGCCAGTGTAGAAGCAGAGAGGGCAGATGTCCGGCCAGCTCCGAGAACAGCGATTGTTTCCCCATCATCATCCACCACCTTGAAGTCCAGGTCCTCGTTGTATTTTCTGCGTTTCACTTGCCGTCCTGAGCGTCGTTTCTACCACGCAAACACATGGAGTCAGAAAAAAACTCTGTGAGCCAAAGGCAAACATTTGTACACAAACACTCTCCTCTACACTAACAGGCAAAGGAGTACTTTCATACTAATAAAAGGGATCTTTTTTTTTTTAAATTTTTTTTTTAAAGATTTATTTATTTATACAAGCACTGGGTACAGTCAGAAGCACAGGAGGGTGAGAGAATTCACCAGAGCCAGAGTAGGAAACAGAACAGGCAGAAGGACCGAGGTACACTGCTAAGGGGAGCAGCAGTAGAGGTCTGCGCGCCATGTGGGACCCTCCTCCGGTGGCCAGGAGCAGACGGGGATTGAACTGGCGCTGCAGAGGCTGCGGGCAGCTTCGCAACCTAACGCTCAACCGCTGCGCCACCGGGGAGGCCCTAAAAGGGATCTTTCATAAAAAATGCAAAGGAAGAACTAAATTCACTCAAAATGGGATCTGGATGAGGGAGGTGATCTAAACTGTCGCGTCCACTGAGAAGAAGGTAGTCGCAGAACCCAGAGAGAAGTGTCTGATACATTAACGTCAGTGATTATTTCCTTCTTTCTGAAATCAGTTTCTATTCCAGTAAAAGAAGGAAAGAAGGTAGACTCTATCTTTGAAGTTCCTTCCATCCTAGCTAGAGCTTTGATTTTAAAATAATGAATTTTTTTTTCATTGAAAATAGGTTGTTTCTTGTTGTTGGTCAAATTCACCATACTTACCAAAGCCTCCTAAAAAGCTAAATAATAACAACTAGATTAAGACTTAACTTATAGAATTTCATTAACATCCCTTGAAATGCAGGGAGACATCTTACGTGTGACCAAACAAGACTCAACTAAGGACTCATCTATAATTAAGTAGCTTGTGACCTTTTATAGAGACAACATTCTGTAACAAAACAGCCTAATGGCTTTCCTCAAACAAAAACACAGTCATCTCTAAGTACACGTCACAGCCAAGCAGTAGAGACACTTCTGGGAACCATTCATCAGATAGCTTGCTCTCGGATACCAAAACCTTAAAGACCAAAACAAAAGCAAATCCAACTTACCACTTCTCCAACCCCATCTTCTAAAAGATACCTCCTGAGTCTCTCTCTGTTCCCATCGTTTCTTCACTATGTCATTTCAATGTCACTTACATTGTTTGTAGGAGCAATTCCACATATAAACCTTTCGTCAAATCCCACATACAAATAACCACCCTAGAAACACTAACATCTATTCTCTTCAGCCAATCAGGATACCCAACAGTCACAAACCCCAGTTTATTGGCTGTGTGTGTGTGTATATAGAGTGTGTGTGTGTGGGGGGGGGTGTCTCTACACCCCCCCAGAGCTTATAACTTATTATTATGATGACATTAGGCACTAACACGACCCTACAACAAAGATCACCTAGCAATCTCTTAGGGTCCAGATGACACTTGAAAGTACAGTAAGTCAGTCTCATTCCAAACAGTACCCTTACAACAGCCCAACCCACATAAATTGCTGTAACTATCAAAGGAAACAGCACTTTTAAACATCAGCTCATGTCCAAGAGAAGCTGCCTAAACTTACGGAAAAAAATTTTGACCAATGTCATGGCATACTTTGGCCTATTTTTAGGACTCTCACCTAGGTGGACAACTTCTTATTTCCATGTTTGGCCAAACTTTCTGCATTGTTTTGGCATGATGAAAACAACCCTGACTTTTCTAGCACCAAGGTTCATGAAAATGTGCTTATGCAGATTGGCCCAGCACTCTGAGTCCTGAACTCATTGCCTCATAGCAAAACAGCCTTCCTCAGCCTTACCTTGCTTGGCTGAACTCCGCTTCTACTTTCACTCTCTCTGCAGTCTACTATCATGCTACTTTGCAAGAAAGCAAACACCACTAACAAATGGGGATTATTAGTATAAGGCTCAAGATACTAAGAGGAAATCCTATGGTCTTTCAATGTTCACCCACCAAAACAGCGAAGGTCAGCCCAAGTCATGCACAGGGATGTGGGTTAGTGGCAGGGACAGAGGAGCAATAAGACCAGCATCAATCAACTCCCATCTGTAGCCGTAAGCTCCACCATGGCTCCCAGTCACAGCCGTACCTGGCTGTCTGTAGACTCAGTGGATTCCTCAGGACTCCGCAGGGATGAGTTCGGCAGGCCCTGATCCAGTTCTAAACTCTCCACTGTGGTTTCACTTTTCCTTTTTCCTTTCTTCTTTTTCTCCACTGGGGTTGGTCCTTGCTCCTTGCTACAAGGAAAAATTCAGAATTAAAATTTCTGGGCAGTTTTTGAAACTTCTCAGTGATCAAAGTTATACTATGGCATGATTATTGTGATAAGAAATAATATCTCCAAAAATCTCACTTTCAGTTCATATGTATCTATTTCTCTAGGAAGTTTGCTCTGGTAATTGAAAATCACCAACTTTCAATCTCCCTTTAAGTTACATGGGAAGACAGTCCCCTAATCTGTCATCATCCCCTACTGAGTACGGTCTATGTATAAGACTCAGACTGAGTACTAGGAACCCAAAAATAAAGACAATGCTGTCTCTGCCTTGAGACACTGAGGAGCTTACCAACTGTGACAAGCCTATAGACCACCTAAATCCATCCTCCAGATGAATGCTTCCTGAGAGAAGTGGAGATGAGCAATATTCATGCACCCTGCAGGACCTGCTAAAATAGCAGCACAGCCTCCAAAAAGTTTTTCCTTACCCTCCTAGCTGGTGAAATCTCTTTCTTACACTCCCAAAGCACTTATGTGTGCTTTGCTTAAATTAAGGTAATCAGAATCTGATCTTACACCAAAGTTAGTTATTAACTATGACACTGGGCGCAGAATCATACAGTTCCTGGATCCTCTGCAGTTGCTTGATAAACATTTTGCTGAATGGGCAGATATTTTACATTTCCCTGATCTTTCTTAGCAGATTCTAAGTTTCTAGGCAACAGTTTGTACTTAAGTTTTGTATTCATCAAAATAACTAGTTTTTTGCCTTATAGAAAATAAATATTTGATGAATGCTTATTGGATAGGTGAATGCAATATACACATACCAATGGGTAAGATTACATGTTGTTAGAGATTTTGGAAAATGCATCTGAGTGGGGATATACCTGGACTTTTGATGGAAGATAGAAATAATAACAATAGGAATAGTTATTATGGTGAACACTTACATGATAGAACACTAAGGGTACATTAGGCTAGAGAGGTCAGACTTCATTCTGTGTGAAAAGGGCCATGATGGCAGGCCTAAGCAAGAAGGAATAAAGACCCTGGCTAGATATAATCAACGAAAGCTCAAAGATAAAAATGATCTGAAAGACTCAGAAGAAGTAGAACCAGTAAGTCTTGGCAAGTAACAGAATATACAGGGTGAGGAAGAAGCCACAATTACTGGTATCATAGATATAAAGCACACAAAGAGGGGAAGGAGAGGGATCCAGGGGCAGCGCATGGATTATGGTGGAGGTGTATGGGTGCTTTGGTGGTGAGAGAGCTACAGTGAACATACCTGAGGGAGAATTCCTATACTATCAAAATTTTAACAAGGATGTCAAATAATGGTACCTCATTAATAAAAATAAATTTTAAAAAATTTACTGGTATCATCCATCGTAGGTTATCGAAAGGTGTAGGGAGAGAGAAGCGAACAGTTTTTGTTTAGAGACAGGAGATCCAGCATGATGAACATGTGGCAGGAATACCAACCAGTGCTTATTGCTGAATAAGCTTGCCTCTGTTTTGAAGACTCTTCACCCCTCACAGATCCCCAACCAATTTAGCACAGAATTAACCTTCTTTAATTCCCCAAGACCTACCTGTCGCCTACTGGGAAAAGCTCCTTATATTTTGCTCCAATATGAGTAAGTTCAGCTCAAGGGGTCTGCCATTTTAAAGGATTATACATTTTTTACAAGAGAGAAGCAGGGTGAAAAAAGCAAAAGCAACAATTCAGGATAGTAAGGTAAAACAGTTTTAAAAGATATCATATTTTCACTGGAGCACTTACGTCACACTAAGTGACTTATCACTAAGAAAACTGTCAGTAATTTATATCCCACAAAACACTATGCGTCTGTGTCTCAATTAGTTGCTAAAACCACAAGTCCATGATAAAGTCAAGATAGAACATCCTCATATTTCAGATGAAGAAACAGGTTTAAAAGCAGCAAAGGTCCCAAAATCAGTAGCAGAGCAGAAGTCCACACTCAGCTCATCTGAATCTCAAGGCCTGTTGCTTATTACATCATTCCTGACTTAAAACTCAGTCCCTCTTTGGACGAAATGTAAAAACATCAAATCTCCTTCGTATTATTTGAATCACAAAATAATGGTCAACAGGATCAGTAACAAAACATTCCAATTACCCAAATACAGAATAAAAATCACAAATCAATAGTTTTTTTTTTTTTTTTTTTTTTTAAACAGATCTCTTAAACAAAGAAGACCTGTGCTTAATTTTTTGGACACAAATTTAGAGACAGCTAATTAATATATCAAAAGTCACCACCATAATTACATGGTGAAAGCTCCATTTAATCATCTACAAATTTTAAAATCAATTTAAAATCAATTTGATCTATCTACTAAATAGAACTTCATTATATTTTTAAAAAGTATATATTTAATCTTCATGTATAATTCTACACTCATATAGGTGTGTATGTGCTTATATGAACACACATATACTTATACATCTAAAACCTGGAAATGTGCCTCATTGTGTCACATGCTCAAAAACAAGCTCAAACCACAATTCAAAAGTAGAACCTGCTCAAAGTATGAAACTTTACTATAAGCCTTGTATACAATTGCCTTTTTTGTTTTCAGAAACATATTAAATAAGGAAACTAAGGAGGAGCTATGGTGAGACTGTTCTAAGTTAAGCCTGGGGCAATATTAGATTTTCCTAGAGCGGAGTTGAGAGAATATTATCTCAAATATATGTCAGTAAAATAGGAAAACACCTGGTGAGACTTGCTGACTTATTTGGGGGTAAAGAAGAAGATACTCTACCTGGGAAATCTTCAAAGTGCTTTTCTGGAGGTTACCTTTGGCAACAGCATCAATTGTGAGTTCCAAAAAAGCTTCCTGGAGCTCTTCTAATAAAGACAAATATCAGGAAGATTCCTTGTAAGCTTGTAAACGGAACTTCCAAATAGAACATCAAAAATATATCACCTGAATTCCTTCTCCAGGAAGACTAGAAGAAATATTTTTTGCCTACTTTGGAGTAGGTTTTGAAAACCTTATGGTTGAGAGTTTGGTCAAATAGGGACAACTGAACTTCCAAGTTCTATGCCTGTAAGTGGATTTGGTCTGTGAATGTTTGCTCCTTGAAGTTCCAGTTTTCAAAAATAGGGGTCAAATAATATGTAACAAAATTATGTATGCATATACTTTTAACTCAGCAATTCCATTTAAAGGAATATAGTTTCAAGACACATCTCCACACAACATTAAACTACATATGCCTGTGGCTACTCACTGCAGCATTACTTGGCAATTATAAAACAATGAAAACTACAAACACAAGTGACTGAATAAAGTAGTATACAAATAATGGAATACTATGCAACTATAAAAAGGATTAAGAAAAAATTCTATGGACTGATAAGAAATGATTTCTGATATATATTAAGTGAAAAAAGCAAAGGGAAAACAAGTGTAACAGGCCATGTTTTGTGACAGAACCAAGGGAAAAGAAAATATGTACAACGCTGTATTATAAAAAGAGATAGGAAGGATAAACCAAAAAACAATGACAATCACAAGGGCTAGGTGGAGGGAATGGAATGAAGGGATACAGGACAGGAGTGATACTTCCCTGCATACTTATTTTTTATATAGACTTGACTCTTACAAGCATATTAAAAAATAGTAAGCTAAAGATGAAAACAAGTTCAAACAAATGAATCCACTGTTTCAAAGAATAACATAAACACACTGAATGGTGAAAAAAAAATTCTCATTAATTCATTAGCACATCATTTGACTCAGCTTTTGGAGAAGTGGGGAGAGAACCAGCAACCAAATCCTGAACTCTTTTTGGTAAGTATATGCGTGAAGCAATTCTGAAGACATTTTTGACATGGTATAGGATTCAGCAAATGATTGTGTTTTTGTGTTGGGAGCTGGGATTCTAACTAAGAAAAAGGGAAGATGTGGGGTTTCCCTGGTGGCGCAGGTGGTTGAGCGCAGTGCTGTGAAGCTGTCTGTAGCCTCTGGGGTGCGGGTACAATCCCAGCCAGCTGTGGAGATGCCCACATGGCACAGCAGACCTCACCTGTCTCAACCGCTGCTCCCCTCAGCAGTGTATTTCAGTCAGTCTGCCTGTTCTGCTCCCTGCTCTGTCTCTGGTGAATCCTCTCACCCTCCCGCACGTCTGACCTGTACCCCGGTTCTTATATGCATAAATAAGTAAATCTTAAAAAAAAAAAGAAAAGAAAATGGGAAGATGCAAATATGAAAAGTTGGAAAGAAAGGAAGATACTATGGGATGAATCTGAATTGGAGATATCATTGTAAATGTATATTTTCTAAAGTGTATTACAAATATGTGAACGCATTCAGGGGGAGGGTGTGTGTGTGCGTGCGTGTGTGTGTGTGTGTGTGTACACACTTCCTTCCCCCAGTTATGACAAGTGAAAGAAGCAAAGATGCCCCATTAGCCACGGGCACACCTAGCACTCAGATCTTGGTTTCTCATGCCAAAGCACTTCAGAGAAGAAATTCAGCAACATATCTCATCTTTGAAGAATTTCCTCCCCTCTATTCTTTCTGCCATGGCATTAAGATTTGGTGAAGGAAAAATAAAAATATGCTTCAGCTACCATTTATTTCAATGCCTTTTGGTCTTTTTGCTATAAGCCTTTTCTCATTAATTCCTTTAATAACCAGGCTCAACACTCCCCTCCTCCTTCAAGGGTCTCCTTAGACCAGAAATAAAACACTCCTAATCCTCGAAATCCTTTCAGTTACTCTATGGACAGTTATACTGTGTTCTTTCATTTGTTTATATTTTCCTGTGTTTGAGCATTTGCAAGGTTTCTCAACAATAGGGCTCATGGATGATTTCTGTGACACCTTCCTTTCTCACTTTCCCACTCCCAAACGGAAGTACTCATATGAGGCACGCGGAAGGCACTAAAAATAGAGCGGATAAGTCTATCAAGCATTATTATTAGTTAGCAAGTGTTTCCTTGTAAATTAGGTAAAGGTCCACTCTCTAAGGGCTAACTTAGGAAGTCCTGGGTGTTACAAAGTATTATTACAGTTGCTTTCAACAAAACAGAAAGGGAGACTCAGTTCAGTCTTCAGAGGTGGGTCTCTGCCGTTATCATTTAGATTTCTTCCCTCTTCAACATAAAGTCCAGTGGTTTCCAAGCACAATAGTCTTTATATTTGCCTTTTTTCTTCTAATAAATTATCAGAATGTAAAAACATGTCTCCCAGCAGAAAGAACCCTGTCACTGAACACTTTAAGTCCAGACTCAATAATCTGCACTCTAAACAAAAACAGGTGATTGACCTTCAAATGCTGAGGCAGAGGCGAGATGACCAAATCTTACTACCCTTCCCACATCACAGCTAACAGCTGACTCAAGGCTCAAATAGTTACATAATCATAAGCTCTAGGGTAACCATCAAAAAAGAAAACCAGAAAAGGCAAACCCTTTATTCCAGGATGTTACTAAACTTACTGAATTTGGGAGAAAAACCTGCCTTAGTTGACAAACCCAAAACAAATGGTGGTGAAGAGTTGAAGCACAGGTACTAGGGCTACTCCTATTATTCATTTCTTTCTCTCTCTCTCTCTCTCTCTCTCTCTCTCTCTCTCTCTCTCTCTCTCTCTTTTTTTGGTGGTTTTTGGAGCAGATATAATACAAAATGCTCAGCTCCTGACTTGAGAAAGAGTAATCTAAAGGGCCAAGTCACAAAGCATGGTGGTCCTGATCTCCAGCACTTACCTTCTGTTGAGGAGGTAAGTCACACATACATGAAAACAATAGTTTATAATGAGAGATACCTTATAGCAGAGGGAAATGCACAAGACTCAGAATCAGGAGGTCTGAGTCTATGACACACCCTTGCAAACAAGGCACTGCTCTGTGAGTCTCCATTACCTTTGCTGCAGTGCAACATGTTGGACCTGCTCTCTTTCAGCCTTTCTAGGTATAAAAGTCTCTGATTTATAATGCAAAGTGTGACTCCAACAGCTATGGAAGTCAGAGGAGACACACTTTGGGGACACTCTCTGGAGAAACTGGGACTTGTACTCAGAACTGAAGAATGGAATGAACTGGATTCTGGGAGGACAAGGGAGAGAATGATTGGGAGAAACGCTACAGCAATCCAGAGGGGAAGTAAGTCAAGTACCTTTAGGGGCTAATGAGTTAATCTAGTTAGCTAATCTCTTTTCAGAAGGAGTGGGGAGGGGGGAGGAAAAATCCCAAAGGATTTGAGTAACAAAAAAAAACAGTCTGGATTTTGTTCTAGAGGCAAGTAGGAACAATCAGAAACGTCTAAGCAGGTATACATTGTTAGCGGGAATTCCTTTTTCCTTTCCCCATGTTTTCATGAGAAAAATCCTGTTTTATTCCCAAGGAAAGAACAGTATTAGAAACATATTTCTGGCTCTTCTTCAAGCTACTTTCACTTCTCTGCCTGGGACCTTCCAGACAGGTGAGACTGGGAAAAGGATTGGAGCACACCTTAGTGTCCTCCCTCTGCTTCAAGGAATTGCTTGCAGTTCTGATGGATACCCTCAACTGAGGGAGTAACAAGGAGTATATTCTGGCCCCAAGACAGCGGACTTCTTCAATCCAGTCTATCACTAAAAAACGCTGATAACTGCATCTCCATCCCTGATAACTATTTCCCAACGGATCTGGATTGAGAGGGTAAGAAGTTTGATTTATCAACAACTATGAACAATAACAACAGTGCTTCAGGAAGATTATCAGTTGGCAATTGACAAGATGACATAAAGGAGGAAAGACCAGAAGCCCTTACTTCTACAAAGCACTCCTACAAAAATGCAAGCATTTGAGGAACTGTGATCATCATGTATTACTCAAGGTCTAATGAACTGCTTATATCAAAACACATACTTGAGCCATTCGGTAGCAGAGTAAATCAAAGAGCACAAAAAACTGAGATTTAATTTAATTACTGCCATACATTTTTAAAATCAATGAATGACCTTTTATAACTAAAAATTGCTTCTGACCATTGGGATCATTAATTAAAGGAACCAAAGCCATTTATAATATAAAGGATAAGAAATGGAAGACTCACCAGTCACGTACCCTATCTGGTCTACAGAGAATTCTAATGTTACAAGTCTCTCATATAGTCCCAAAATGGAAAGTCTCATGCAACCTGCCCACATTTCTAAAGAGATAATCAGCCCTCTTTGTCAGCAACCTCATAGGGTACCGCTAGATTTCTAAACCTCAAGAGGTTCTGCTGCCCTCCAACTCAGCAGTCCTTGAAAATACTACTAAGCACTACTCCATCTCCTTTGTGCTTTATACAGAATGAGTTACATTATGATCACTAATTAGATAAAATCGCTACATATACATTTGATACCCAACTTGTTTTGTGAATTTCCTCATTGGCCCACAGTGTAATATATGGCAACATCTGCATCAACAACTGGTTTCACACCCCACACAAAGTAATTGTGAATTTATTTAAGTAGAAGTAGATAAAACTGCTAACATCAATGGCTAAAGTTGAGTTCTAACACCTATGGCTTTCTGCCACCTTCTACAGACACCAAGCTCCTTACCTGAGCTATGCAACTCTCCTCTACTTACCCTAATTTTAAAACACTATCCTCAAGGATTCTTCTTTATTTTCTGTAATAACCAAAGTCACCACAGTAGCTCATTTCTGATTCCCCTATCACACATGCTATTACCCTGAAGAACCAATTAGTTTCTCCAAAGTAATTTGGAGATGAAAGTTACTGGCAGAGACATAAATCCACCCCATACACCACGAGAGAGCAGATCACATACACTGGGTTCACTGAGAAACAAGCCTGTAAGTCTCACATAAGTCAGAATGCTGATTTTCTCTCTCTTAACCTTCTATAAAGTAGTTTGGAATCATTCTCTGCAAATTACATTCCTAGGTTCCCACCCTACTCTCTCTGATAGAGAAAAGACAAAATCCCCTGCCAAGCAGAAGGGAGTGGATAATGGATGGTCATTTTAACTTAGATTAAGAAATTATCCTTCTGGTCCCAACAAACTGTACTTATAAAAATGAACTCAACCAGGACCTCCCTGGTGGCGCAAAGGGATAAGGCACAGCCTGCGAAGCTGTCCGCAGCCACTGGAGCATGAGTTCAATCCCCGGCCAGGGGGCAGCCCACATGGCACAGCAGACCTCTCCTGCCTCACCCGCTGCTCCCCTCAGCAGTGTACTTCAGTCAATCTGCCTGTTCTGTTCCCCCCTGTCTCTCTGGTGAATTCTCTTACCCACCGCCCTCCCCACACCTCTGGCCTGTACCCCAGTTCTTGTATGCATAAATAAAATGCATCTTTTAAAAAAAAAGAACTCAATCATAAAAAAAAAGAACTGAACCATACAGAAAATTTCAAGTTACAGAACACACCACCTAAAATATTCTCTCTCTTCAAAACTTCCTTCCTCTATGTCTGATCCCATACAGGTCTGGCAGCCTCACCACTTCGCTGTTAGAGGAGTCAGATCCTCTTCATTTCTGTAAGTGCTCCCGGTCTCTAACCTGCCCCTGCACTTAAGATTTTAGAAACTTAAATTTTCTTCATAAGTTTGTAGAGTTTATGTATCGTTTTCTTTTGTATTTCCTCAACAGCCTAAATAGTCTGATCAAAAAAATTAGAGATGAAACAAAAAACATGGCATTTGCTCATGGGTGATACACACCGTATTTCCTGGGTCACTGCCTTTGGAGACTGACAGCACCTAGTGCCAGGGTCCCCGGGGTCGCTGTATCTGTGCCCTCTGATCTCTAAGATCACTATGGTTTCTTTTGGCCCCAGTTATCAACATCTCCTGAGCACCTGCTGATGTTAGCTATCGGATGAGATGCGGAGCAGGAGCGGTCCTGCACCAGAGAGCTCGTAGCCTAGGGAAGCTCAGCCATCCTTTTCTGTGTGGAACCCCACTCACACCCACGGCTCTCCCAGGCTGCGGGTACCACTAATTCCCAGGACTGCACACCCTCCTGCCAGTAGTCCCTCTGCCACTCTACTCTGTTGTTCCAAGAACTGTTGCCTCCCTGTAGCACACCAGTGAGGTCCCTTCTCCTGCACCCTGTGCCTGACCACACATTTTAATTCTTCTTAATCCAAAAGGAATAGCAAGAAACTGCAGAGCCAGGATTAAGGTTATCTTTCCTTAGGGGGTGAGGAAAGTGGTCCACCTGGCTGAAAGCAGTGAATTTACATGTAGGGGCGGAAGTAAGGCCACAGCAGGCCAAGCACTCAGAGAAAAGGGACGCACCTGGCCTTCTTGGACTTTGTCCGGGCCACGGAGTCAGCACCGCTTCTCCTGTCTTTGGCCTCCTTGGCACCCGAGGCCTCCCGGGGTTTCCGCACTTTCTTGGCTCCATCCTTCTGCTTCGGCTCCTTGGGTTCCCTGGGCTCCTTGGGCTCCCTGGACTCCTTGGGCTCCTTGGCCTTCCTGGGCTCCTTGGCCTTCCTGGGCTCCTTTGGCTCTCTGGGTTCTCGCTTCCTCTTTGGCTTGGGCTCCCTGTCCTTGCTTCCCTTCGCTGTCCCCTCTTGCTCTCCTGGATCCTTTTTCTTCCGTTTCTTCTTCACTCCAGTCCCTCCTCCTCCACTGTCCTCCAGCCCATTATGGGCTGTCACTTTCCTAGGAAACAGGGTCTCAGCTTCCTCTTCAGCGGCATACAGGTCCTTCTGGGGCAGACAATGACTGGCAGCATCTTCAATTTTCTCCTCCTGATCAGTGCTGTGGTCAAATGGGGAGGGGGATTTGTAGTCAAAATTGACAGAGGCATCAGACATTGGGGAGTGACTCACAACTTTTAAATTTGACAACTGTGAAAGAGAAAGAAACAAGCGTATTACTCCTTCAATGCGTGCTTCACACTAAGCGCATTATTGAGCGTGCGGGCATGGATGTAATCACAGCTTAGTTCTTACTCTGTGTTCCTATTGTCCTCAGGCCTTGAGGATATAGTGGCAAAGAAGACACACATTGTTTGTTTTTACCTTTGCTTTTGTGGATTTTTACCAAGTTGTATTTGCATATTATCTAAGAAATGAATATGCAGAAACCTGAAGAATTATGCACAGAAATCTCAATCACCTTTTAAGCTCCATGTTCACAGACAAGCACAAAAGTCTGCTACAAAACACCTCTAGATGTCACTCGCAAATGCAAAAGTCTCAGTACACTGTTCTGACCCAGAATGGCATTTATTATGCTAGTTCACAAAAGTTACCGTTCAAATGTGTTCCTGAAGAAAGGACGTGACAGGGTCACTTTCAGTGTGTTGCTTTATTCCGCCAAATCTTTGCTCTCACATATTATCAAGCAGTATCAACACCAAGTTCATCTGACTTTCCACAAGAAAAATCTGGATTGTTCAAAACTAGATCTTGTATTCTTATTAAATATGGCGCTCTTCCATATGACCATCTAACCTAGACTCAACAGCAGCTAATCTTTGGCCTCTCACAAAAATCATCATACAGGAGGAAATTTTATTGTGATAAATGCCATTGGAAAGACTGTGTCACGGGTGCAACAGGCAACCTGAAAAGGAGGTTTCAAGGTTGTTTTGGAGCACCATCAAATAAAGGCACAGCCTTCCCAGGTGATCACTTTTAAGGAAACAAGCCTTTTGGAAACAGAAGTTATATCTCATATTTTCATGTCTGATATTGCAAAGTACATCTGTCATTTCATAAACTAGGGTTGTGATAATTAGATAATAATGTGGGTGGCTAGCTTTATAGAATAGCACACTCTGCTGGGTCTGGAACAAAGAAATAACTGGAGAGACTGGAAGGGATAAGCAGGTTTTCCAGAAAGATGGTTCAAATCATCTTTGGGTGATGGCTTAGGAAAAGCACCATTTGTGAGTAGACTGCTCCCCTAACAAGAGGCCTAGCATGTGCTAAAGGACACAGATAACTAGCCCAGGTGGTGTGGTTTCCCTCCAGTGTTCTGATTCCCAATCTGCACTCAGACTTTCTGGCCTACCGTGGTTATAATGGAGAGTGCAAAATTCAGCTACATATTTCCTCTTCTGTTTTCTCTAGTTCCCATTCCTACTCTAATATTACCAAACTTAACACTGAGAATCTGAGGGGGAAAAAAGATAAAAGAAGGATTTTGGGGGATTCTTATAAAGTCTAGACTCATAAATGAGCCTAAATTAAGAGGGAATTGGTCGTTTTGGCAAGACTCACTACTTTAAAAAAAAAAACAATTCATTTGACTATCTCATTGCTGACTCAGTAAACATAAAAGGAATATAAAGTCAAATATAAAATAATAAATTGTATGTTATTTTACAATAAAAAGAAAATTCAAGTCAAGAAGACACCAACATTGGAGTAACAGGTATCCAGTTAAAGCTCGGACCTTGTGAGGATTCCTGATTTATTACTTAATTCTACTAAGGACACCTGGCCTTAAGGAACAAGTTTTTGTTTAGCATACAAGGGTGGATACAATGAAAGAGCAAGAGATAGATACAGGCTTGCATATAAGATACTTTCAAAGACAATAGAGAAAAGACCTAATTTTACCAAGACAGCACTCTGTAGGTCAAAGAGGGACCCTCTTTTCGATTACTACTGCTTCTCGAGGTCTCTTCTGAAGGGGCTGGGGCGGGTGGAGGTAAGTGGTGGTAACTAGGTATTCAACAACGGCAGCAGTTAACTTTTACTGGACACATGTCATATGGATATACTCAGAAGTACGCGAGGTTAAGTTTCATATCTATACTCTTTACAACATTCCTAAAATGCTTGGATACGAACGCCTGTTTTGTGATTGAAGGAGAAGGTTACTGATATTGAGTGATGTGCCCAAGGCATAGAGTGAGTAGAGGTGCTTGGATCTGAACCCTCTAGCAAAAGCTAATGCTCACCTCATTGGTGCATTATAAGACAGCCCAGGGAACTGCAACGATAGCTAAGTTACCAGACCAGGATGAATAGACTTGGTTAGAACTGTTAGATGTGATGGCGTATACAACCACTTTAGGAAAAGGTCTGTTGGAGTTCTTTAAAACACTGTAAACAAAATATCTACCTGATGTCCCAGCAATTCTACTTCCAGGAATCATAAATGGTCACTTCATTTTACAGATAAGATAATCAGTTCAAAAAGACAAAGCAATTTGTCCTGGTTTTATGCCTAGGGAGTAGAGGAGCAGGGACATCCTCCAGGGAGAAGAGAGACCAAAACAAGCAATAAATTGGTTAATGTTGAAAAGGGGGAATTATCCCAAAAGACAGATATTAGTAATAAAAAATAAAATTTTTTAATTAGAAAGTCAATAATCCACCAGCAATGTTTTTACTTTTAAGGTGCCTTATCAGGTGTTTGAAAAACATAACCAGTGAGGATTAAAAAGTATAAGACAAAAAATAAATTCTTCACTGTGTGTTAAGGTCAGTAGTGGGAAAAGGCAAAGAGCCTAAATAAAAGTCTTTGCTTCAGCTTCTACCAAGAAGGACAATAAATCACCACTCTGAAAATGATCCTAAGAGGAATGGATAGGAGATGATAGACCACAACATACCAACAATATTTTACATTGGCAACTTAAGTAGAGACAAACACCGAGGAACACAAAGACGAAATAGAGAGGGATAACTGATAAAAACACGTGACAATGCAAGCTCATAAACTGAATTGTTGGTAATAAAATCCGTTTCTTTGGCTCAAAATTATCAATCTATACCATTCCTGGGAAAAACACTTATTCAAGTCAATTGTTACGGATTTAAGATGCTGACAGAGAAGAGTCAGGAGGAGAGAGGGAAAATAATACTTAACATGTGTCAGTGTTTTCAGAACTATCAGCTTTACTTTATTGTGTTTTCAGAAACTGAGCTTTACTTCCAAGCAACTATGGCTTTGGGCAAACCAATACCTCAGAGTGATTCAAACTTCCTAATCTGCAAAAGGTAAAATGTTTGTTCTGGCCAATCCAGGCCAGAAGAGACTTCTAGAATTTTTCTGCAGTATTTTCTAGACCACATAAAGAATTTTTTCAACAGATACATGCAGAGTGAATAACTATTTTTTATCTCTTCATTATTAGCCCATCTGTAATTTTACTGTAATGTTGTAATGCACAGAGCTCCTGAAGCTGGCACTTAGGCCAACTCTGGCCCCCACTGCAATATGCAAAGGTCCAGGTAACACCAAAAGTTGGAGTTAGAAATATTGTATACATGGATATGGAATGGTTCTTTTTATATATCTCAACCTTTTAGTCACAACTATTGAGTATTCAAAACTGTTTTGATATTTTAAAGATAAAATACTTGTTAGTAATGATCATGATAGTTGGTTTTATTAAGGACTGAGTATTAGGCAGTGTACTGTTTCTTAAATGGATTATGTCATCTAAACAACTCTAAGAAGAGGCATAATATTTGTTCCAATTATGACTCCATTATGACTCTCAGAAGGTTAAACAATTTGGCCATAGTCACACTACTAGTAAGTAGTAGAGATTTGAATCCAAGTTTGACTCCTGGTTTCAAAAGTCAGTGCTCTTGACCACTTCACCACACTGCCTTGTGTTTTAGATACATTAAATTGAGAAATAAGAATTTTTAAAAATTTCTAACCACCTCTACTTTATTTTCCATCATTGATTTTCCAAACCACTGCATCTTCTCAACCTTTGCCTAGAAGACATCCAGCTCATTACCTTTTCTTTCCCATCCTGGTCACTTTACTCTGGCCTCTTGAGTTTTCTTTCAGAACACAAAATGAATTAGGACAACAAAAACACCTGTTGTGGTATATCAAAAAATAGGGGGAAATTTTAATACTCAGATTTCTTTTTTTGAGAAGGGAGGAGTGGGCTATTTTGAGTTTTTTTGAAACATGATTCCAGGGTGGGTCTGTTTAGAATCCTGGTCCTCCTGGGCCATTTACTAATTATCCCTCTGTATCATTGTTGAAAAAGCCCTTCCAGTGACTACCAAGGACAAGGTCTCACTGGGATTAACCTTCACCACACCCTTTGTAGGGTGAGGTGGAAAAGTCTTAGAAATAAATTATTTACTCATCCATATTATCAACTTTGCTATTCTTTCTCTTACACTTCTCTGAATTGTGGGTCATTATCTCATGATCTATATTGGTGGTAAATATGTTGAGTCCTCATCTCCCCCGGTAGAGCAGCATGGACCAAATCTTTTGGGAACTTAGTGGCCAGCTAAATCCACAATGTTTTATTATCCTAGTTCATCTTCCATCAACACCCAAAATTTTGCACCCTACTCCAACCCTTCTTCCCTCCCTTACTAATACCATAAGGGTATTATATTATATACCTCCCATACTCTACTTACTCTCCTCCCTCCGGAGCTTTCATCCTGGGCTCTAAGATGCAACATGACCGAAACCTGGCTCACCAAGAAAACACCACCTCTTTCAAAACACTCTCAAATTCTTTGGTGGCACTGACATTCTCTGGACCCCCAAACTCTCCAATTCTAGGGCATCAATGCTTCACCCACAATATAAAAACCCTGGCTCTTTTGAGGTATATGGTATTCCTTGCTTTATTAACTGCCTGTCTGTAACTAAACTACACTACACACTTCTTAAGAAAAATAAGTAACTTTCAGTTACTGTTGCTGGTCCCAACTAGACACTCAAGCATTTCTTGAAGAGTAAAAGCTAAAAAACAACAAGTATTTGTTTTGTGAATAAATTATATCCACATTCACACTAGGAAAGGGAACAGGGAGGGTCTAGTTATCGGGAGGCCTTTGAGATTTCCACAGCATAGCTTAAAAAAAAAAATTCTTCCTATCCCACCTTTTTAGTTACTAGAGGACCAAGAATGAAGGGCTCTTCTGACCTGATTAATTACTGCAAGTCTGAGTTTACCTTCTGGTCATAGCTCTAAGTTTTAATTTTACTTGTAAAATGACCTATATCTATTGTATTGCATTTATATTGCTCACTACTTTTCTCAACATTGGACATATGCACACAAAACCTTCTTACTGCGTAATATTACATAATATTACATATCATATTATGTATCACATAATATTTATCAGATTTTATACTTCTCTCAATACCTATTTTTCTATTTTTGATACACCACAACAGGTGTTTTTGTTGTCCTAAAGAGCTAGGATGAATAAACATCAATATTTCCATATCATGAGTCTGTCTTTGCTAACATTAAGATATGTGGCAGTACAAAGAAGTATTTTCAATAGTGCTATAAGGGCTTTCAATGATTAGAGTCCCCATTTTTAAATTTTTTTTCTGTCTAATGCTGCTTAGATATCTTAGGAATTAAAATATATTAGAATTTTGGACCTCCCTGGTAGCACAGGGGTTAAGTCTCGGCGCTATCATCTCTAAGGACTGAGTTTGATCCCCAGCCAGGGAGCTAACCCACATGGTGCAGGAGACCTCTACTGTCTTGCTCACTGCTCCCCTTAGGAGTATATTTCAGTAGATCCACCTGTTCCTGGCCCCCACGTGTCGCTTGTGGATCCTTTCTCTGCCCCCCTACACCCTTGGCCTACACCCCAGTTCTTCGGGACATAAATAAATTAAAAATATATATACATATAAATGTTTTAAAAAATTCTTAGAAGCAGTTTATTTTCTAATAAAAGACTATTGCGCCCTGAGTGGTACATTTTTAAACGTTTTCTTAAAGTCAATTTTTCTTGCAACACTTCTTTAGGTTATACAAAGGCAATCTCTAAAACCCTTTGTTCTTGGCACATTATTCTTGTGATGCCTGGCCATCTGGTTAATAAAAAGCATGATTATTTATTACTGAGTTTTGATCAACTTGTAAAATGTTAATCACAGTTTAAATTTACCTCAATAAAATTTCTGACAAGAAAATGAGGCATTTTCAAGATCAGAATGTATTTATATGTTACTTTTCTCCAGAGAAAAGAAAAATAGGTTTTTTAAAAATGTTTTGTTTGCTGCTCATTCTAACACCTTAAAATTATATTAAGACAAAGAACAAAATCTGATGGCTAATGTTATTGTAATGATGAAAAGCTCCATGCCACTGACATGCTAAATGGCAAGTACTTAGTCAATCCTTTAAATATTTAAATTAAGCAATTAATGTTCATCAAGATCTGGCGAGGCATAAGTGAGTACTCCCATTTAAGTGATAGAAAAATGAGACTGAACTTGTCTAAAGTCACCCAGCTAAGTGGCAGACTTAAAGTTTCAATCCTTTTCTACTGAAATCAAAGCTCAAATTTATTCCAGAACATGTCTTCCTCTATGCCAGGCTTGCTTACACAAGCTTGTGCATTACTTTAGCATGAACTTAATTTTCTATTTTCATGCTTTGCAACTTCTTGCATTTCAATCATCACTACAGCAGCCTATCACCAGTAACTGTAAGAGGAATAGGATCCTACTAAAAAAGGCTTCACTTAAGTAACTTGCTCTTCTACCAAACATAACATTAACTTTTAAATAAAAACCATACCCACTCATCAATATTATTATTGTGAGATCCAAAATGAAAATCCATCTAACTGAGGCTACATAAAAGTTGGCTGACATACCAACGGTTTTGATATGAACCCATAAAAATCTCAAAAGAAAAAAATTCCTAATTCATTTGGAGTAACTATAATAAAGAATGTTTTTATTGAAATGAAAGTTTGCCTTAAAGAATGTTTAAGAAATATAAAATGGGCCTCCCCGGTGGCGCAGCGGTTGAGCGCTGGGTTGCGAAGCTGCCCGCGGCCTCTGTGGCACCAGTTCGATCCCCGGCTGCTCCCCTTCCACCAGAGGAGGGTCCCACATGGCGTGCAGACCTCTCCTGCTGCCCACTGCTCCCCTCAGCAGTATACTTCGGTCCTTCTGCCTGCTCTGCTCCCCGCTCTGGCTCTGGTGAATTCTCTCACCCTCCCGCGCTTCTGACTGTACCCAGTGCATGTATAAACAAAACAAACAAACAAACAAATAAATAAATAAATAAATAAACATGCCTCAATTAAAAAAAAATATATAAAATGCAGATTGTTTTAAGAAATATAAACCTGCCCATGTAGCATAAATGACAATAATTTTGAGGAACTGGAGTTCTCTTCAGTAATGTGCTCTTTTTAATGGTTGCATAATATTCCACTGGGTGAATGTGTATGATTTAAATAGTCACCTTCTGGAGGAACATGTAGGGTCTTTTGCATTTTTGCTATTACAAACAAAGCCGCTATGAAAGTTCTTTCACAGCCAGTTTTGCACACCTGTCTAAGTATATCCACGGGATAAATACCTGCCAGATGGAATTGCTGCATTCTCTATAGTGTTTGTCCACCAACTGATAACTCCATAAGGGCCAGAACAGGAAGAAAACGGTATGTAGGCTGTATATAGTCACTGCTCTTCCTGTTAAGAATTGGCAGCAGATGAGTCAATTATTTCCCAAAACAAATTTTGGTTTCACAGGGACCTACCCACTAGGAACAAATCAGAGGCAGTCCATGTAACCATATTCCTAAGTCACCCTTTCTCTATCCTCCGTGCACTCCAGATGTGAACTGGAGAGGAAAGTGGTTAGTTCCACTAAAACCTTTTGCATAGGGTCCCAGTAAAAGGCAGGGATTCATATCTCCCCAATTACCAGATTGCCATTCAATTCTGCAAAAGGAAAACCAGCAATGGAGATAGCTTCTTTCCAAGAGTCAAAGGCAGGTCCCCTATCCCACCTCCCAGAGTCACACTGGGTGGAGTCCTTGGGCTCCCTTGAATATGCATTACAGTACCAGCTAAGTAAATGATCCTGGCTGGATGGGACACATAGGTCGAATGTTTTTTCTCAATTCCCCATTCCATCAAGAAACCAAATGTCCAAGAGTTGCTATCCACATCCTTCCTATTTGTTCACAATTTTCTCTAGGAAGGAAACTTCTGCAAAATTTTCTTATAAATGAGAAATTGATAAATGAGAATGTTTTCAATTTAGCCAAACATCAAAAATGAAAAATAATCTCTTTTATAAGAATTTGAAGCTCTTCCAAGGAAGGAAAAGTTTCTCATCTACATACATAATTTTGAATAATATTCTGATACACAGTTTTTGTTACATTTTTTCCTATCTGGAAATGATATAAGTAAAAATGCACATTAAGTCATTCAAAACAGTTCTCAGTTACCATATGGAAATGGGAAACAGGTAGCAGGGCAACTACCAAAGACTAAGAGGTGAGTCAAAATTGCCAGGATCTCTCTTGTTAACGAGATGCTGGATGCATTCACTTAAAAGATGTGACCACTTACTTGCTTCTCTTTCTTCTGTATTTTCATTATCATATATTGAAGGAAGATAATTACTTCTGTAAGACATAAAAACAAAAGCAAAAGATTATGGTAAAATCCAAAATAAAAACATTTTAAATTGTCTCAGGATTAACTGTGACACATGAGAAAAACGTGGAACAGTTGATTACTTAAACAGAACATTTACAACCAATAGTCTTCTGGCCCTGCTACCCCAGAACCCTAAGCGGAACCATAAACCTATCCAACCTTATCCCAAGCCCTAATCTATAGTCCAGATGGGGGTGGAGTCAAGAAGATATTGTCTCTGTAGATAAACTAAGTCATAGAAGATGCTGGCATAATATATTATAAAGGAAAGGAACAGGAACCAAAAATAGTGACAAGACTATACTTAGTAGAAGAGAAGGGGTGGAAATATGCTAAGTTAAGAAAACCAATAAATAATGTCTACAAATGATAAATCAAGAAACAGAAATAGACACAATAAAAAAAAAAGAGACCTGAAAGAGTTAAATGTAGTTCTCTTAAAAAAGTCGGAAGTTGGGATTGTTGGGGGGAAAGGATGTCCTGAGCAAACTCCATGCAGGCTTGTGGACGCCACCCCCACGGCACTGGGAACTACAAATCCCATCATCACCAGAGGGGAGGCAGCAAGGACCTGAGGGCGGAGTTAAGCAACTGGGCTCTCAGTTTGGGTATGTAACTGGCCATGTGGCCGGGGTCACCCTCTTGGCCATGCCGCGTGCTGGTTTTTCGCCAGCTCAGCCGGTCTTTGGGGTTCCAGGTCAGCGGAACGGGTAGGACGCATTTACGAACTCATCTCCCTCTTGTCTCCCTGAGTTATTCATTTCCCCATTTCCCCCCGCCCTTGTAAATAAACCTTTTATCAAGCTTTGTGCATGTCTGCAGTTTAGCATCATTAAGTGTCCCCTTAAGCGGGTGGGTGAGGACCCACAGTCAGGCAACCCCATTTTATATCGGGGTTTGCCCTGTAACAGTATGAGATACAACATGTCTTAATTTCATCCTATGCTCTCCTAAGTTATATCTGATGTTTTAAACCCTGTTCATATAATTACTCAACAAAATAAATTCCAGTAATTCATGTGATTTTGAAAAAATGTTTGATCTTATTGGACCCAGGGCTTAAGCCCTCATTCCTGTCCCAACACCTTAAGCCCTGAATGACACTGAACTTTTTCTCACAAATGACTTTAGAACACCATAGCAATGAGAGCCCAGCAACTGGCTTTAAAGGCCCACCAGTACATGAGGGCACCCTGGAGTGCTGAAAGAATACTAGTCTAGGAAGCCCAGAATTTGGAGCTAATGGAATCACTAACCAGCCATACTGCCTCAGGTCTGAAGCGCTGGTTTTGCTCATACACAAACAATGGAGGGATCACAGAATCTCAACTTCTGGTTCTAGGTAGGATGTAGGCACTGCCTCATGGTCACTTTGTACTTTGATTCACCGGATAGCCTACAGAGTTCCAGAGTAGCACTCCCAGAGGCACTTGGGGTCCTTATTTTCAGGATTATTTCTCATATGCAGATGAATGCAGTATGTAAGGCATAAAGTGATGTAGTTTCTAAGTCAGTTCATGGTGGATATGATGCAAACTGATAAAGATGAAGGATTTGTCATTCCAATCATCCTTGGGGTCACCATTACAGACTACCATCAGTTTAAGGTCTTATCATTGTAGGTTTTTTTTCCCCTCCAAGAGTCAGAGGCAGTTCCTATAAAAAGGACCATAAAATGTTACTAGGATATTGTTACTAGCAAGGAGCACAGCAGCCATGGAAGCAACAGCTGCAAAGTGGGTCTAGTGAGCCTAGACCAGGGGGAGGGCAGAGCAGAACTGCTGAAAGCAGGAAAAGGGAAAGTCACCTCAGTAAATGATGCTTCTTAGAATGGCTGTGAGGATTAACATTTGTTGGGACAATTATTCACCTCTGGAAAACCAAAAATTCCAGAGAAATGTTAAGTGCTCTGAATCAGAGCAGTTAAAAAATTTTACCCTAATCTTTATTATAGTGGAGTCAGTGCTAAGTACATTATGTTAGTCCAAGTTTACCTCCTTTATCACTCAAATTCAAATTATTAGACCCCAGAAACCTGGCATTCTTGACCATTTACAAACTGCTGCAAATTCTGACTCATCTACTAAAAAAAAAAAATTCTGTCCAACAAAATAAAATCAAACATTGAATAAAATAAATTCCTACAAATGCCAATAAAAATTATTTCTATTATAATGTATAAAGAACAAGTATAATGCACGAGAGACATCAAAAACACAATTTTAAATTAAGTAACACAAACTAGCATGCAAATAAGCAGGACCCCACACTGCCAGAAATGTGTGGTAAATAGGTCCAACTGATCACTGCTAATGGCACTTCTAATTGGTTCAAGCTTTCTGAAGAGTATCCAGGCAATATGCCACTAAATCTATAAACTGTTCCAATCCTTTTATCTGCCAATTCTACTTTAAGGAATACAAAGCAGGAAATAAACATGAACCTTAGAGAAAGCAGAGAGAGATGAGGTGGGGTGAAATATGAAAATGCCTCACAGCAGAGTCTGGGCACGGGAGAGGACCACAGCAATCAGGGGCCCCATCAACCCCTGGGCCTGTGTCATCAAAGGCCTGAGAAGATCAGAGATGGCAGATGTGCCCAAGCTGGAAAGGCCAGGAGTGCGGTTGGTCCAAACAGGGCTTGAATTTGATTACTCAGCAAAGAGAAAAGGCTTAGAGGTAAAGAGGTAGGTTAAAGATTCTAAACCAAATCGCCCCACCTCAGTTTCTTTACATGCAAGATACTGCCGTCAGCAATATTCATAATCCTATCCCTGATTGGGGGGGGGGGAGAGAAAGAGAAATCCAAGTGGGAGTGATGTTACTAGAATTAACTGCTCTAGTTCACTGAAAACAATCTTAGGCAAACCCCATGTCATCATTGTGCAATCAATCAACAACACCCTGACGGACTATCACAAACCAGTGTGCGGCCACACCACAAGATAACATGTCATCAACATCAACAGGTTTTCAATAATCATTATTGACTCTGATTCATCCGTAGCATCCCAGTTTATAATGCACTCTCTTAAGTCAATTCAACATTTTTTTTTAACTTTTTTCATGGCTTAAATGTTAAAAAAACATTTAAGGCTAAATTTTATGTTATCAGGAATAGATGATACAACTATTGGTTATTAAATGGATATTAGATAACGATCTAATATTAGATATTAGATGGATATTAGATTAGATATTAAATATTAGATGGATACATTTAAACCATGTACAACTACTGTACATGGTTTTACGGCTTCTGTTGCTACATTGCCATCACTCAAAAGTTGTGATTAGATCTTTTTGACTCAATAAAGAATAAGGTAAACAGTAATCTGAGGGCCCCACAACTCAATTAGAAACCTAATTACAGACATATTCTGAAACTCCTAACTTTATGGACAAACCAGAATATTTGTCAACAAGAGAAAAAGTAATGGTGCAACATCCGAATTAGATGAACATTGGTAAGACTACTGCTCTCCTCCTGCATTTCAAAGCTTATGTATTAATATAACATTTCACTATCTTCACGAGAAGATAAACTAATAATGCAAAAAGCAAACAATATGAAAATTTCCATTCCTTCTTATACTCACTCATCTAACAGTGCTTCTACTAAGAAAAATGGAAGCCAGGTTTCAATAAAAACATTTTGAAAGCCTTTTTTTTTTTTTTTAATTAACTTCCAAATTGAAAATTCTGCAACAGAATTTTTGGTCTGGGCCATTCCAAGTTCCTAGTGCTATGTTATAGACACTTAAAAATAATAAAACATCAGGTACACACTATTCTGCTGTCCATTCACAGAAATTATTTACATTTACTACACCTGGGAATTCTGCCATCCTAACCATCCCTGCTCTATCGAGGAGGCTGCTGCACTAAGAGAGTGTTTCTGCAAGTACACACACAGCAGACCACTACCAGCGTCTTTCATAATCAGAGACAATAGAAGACATAACTGACAGAGGTAAGGACGGAGAACTTTGATGTTAACGGGCCCCCATCTGTCCACCTTATTGGGCACTTTGGGATACAGTACATGGGAAGGAACTTCAAAAATCAGATAAACCTCAAATTTTCCACAATAACATGTATTTTTATCTATTTACACAGAACCTCAAGCCTGTGGTTGGCTCCTAAGAACACTAATAATAGCGGCACAAATAAGGCAATCCCACATTGTTGGGGAGGAGGATGTTTTGCAAGGAACAGGAACAGCACATGATGAGTTCATCAAGGAGGCAGAATGGTCTTGGAGAATGTCCCTTCCTTAAATCCCTGTAAAACCACCTCTTACCAAAGCTCACTACCCTCAACAAACTGGACAATTTTACCTAAATCTTTTGCGAGGCTTGAAGCACTCCCTAGAAGGATAACAGCCAGGGTCTGAAATACTAAAAAGCTGAGTGTGAATCCACGCTCTAATGAGGATTAGACAGGTAAAATCTCTTCCACACTTTATTTCCTCACTCCTACCTCAAAGGACCTTAAGGAGAATTAAAAGAGATGATCAGGAGCCATAAGGCAGCCTTTGGTGTTGCCTGTTCTTGTAAGAGCTTCCTTCCCTCCAAGTGTCAGGGAAAGGTGGCCTTCTCTCCTGAGGACAATTCACCCTTCCATCTATACTTGGGAACCATCCTCTCCCATTTCTCAGTCACTTCTGATTCTTGATTACTTGGTAGTTAGTCTTTTCTTCATTTCATGCAGGTCTCTCCTCAAATGCCAACTTACTAGTGTTGTCTTCCCTACCTGTGGGTACCATCAACCACCAGTGCCTAAGCACCCTCCAGGAAAGAACTCTGTTCTGCAGTACAGAGTTCAGTGTCTGGCACTTGGAATCTTCAATGATCATCTGTGGAATGACACAGTGAACAGATGGGAAAGATATATTTACAGAAAAGGCTTTGGGCTCCCACTTTCTTCATCATAACCGGTGGGCTCTCTTTTTCCTGGTTATTCTG